TTTCATGCCTTGCACGACAGCTTGTTAAATCTGCACCAGACTCCAAATAAACACCCAAACCAGCTATGTTGCATTATCCTGTATGTCTTTCCAAGCTTTAGGATCTGTCAGCTTCTGGCTGCTTTTATCATGGAAGCAGATCAGCTGGGAGCCAGCATCACTGCCTGGGGTATGCGAATGTATCTGCTGGGGCAGCGCATGCTGAAGGGAAAAACTTGCCTCATTCAAAGTGTGAGCTCTTCTACAAACCCTGGCTGCTTTTTTCTTTCCCTTCAAACCGTAGTTGCAAACATCACACTTAGTACATTTCAAATGGAAAGCGGATGCTCCTGCATACTAATTCCTTCAGGCTCTGTTGTCCTTTTACAGAACACGATGCTTATGAAAAAAAAAACCAAGAAAGCAAGTACAGAACGGGTTGTTTCCTCTGTCATTAACTTGGTCCACATTGAGGTGAATGGGTGTCACTAATTCGTAATTATTGAAGTATCACAGCCCAACCAACAAGCTTCAAACTCCACAAGTGGACTAGAGATCAGGGAGGCAAGGTCTTGATAATGAGCATCATAACTTTAAGATGACCCCTCCAGGAGTCAGCTCCCTTGAGCCCGGGGATAATGCAGCAGGGAAGGTCATATTCTTTGCTCAGCCTTTCTGTCCACCTTTCATGCTGAAGGGCAGAAGGCAGCTGAGAGGCAGAGAGATGAAGTGCAGTGATCATACAGATTAAAGATGATGATAAATATGGGAGTGGAAAGAAAACTCTGCAGGCATACTAGCTCCAAGGTCATTGCCAGCTTCAACTGAAGGAGAAAATGAACTGCCACCAGAGGAAACGCCTGCTCCTCTGCCAAGCTGCTACCTTAGGCTTTATGCTGGAGAAATGATCAATAGCAGCTGGCAGCCTTTGGTTCTGTGCATCCAAGAACATCTAAAGACATTCATGACTGAAGATCAGTCGACTATGTAAAGCGTCAAATAACTTCTTGGGATCTGCAGCCGCTAAAAATACATCCAAGTATTGTCCTTGTGCCCCAGGAGCTGCACAACCCACACTACCCCACAAGGGAAACGCAGACAAGCCAGAGCAACAGGAGAGAGCAGGCCACAGCAGGGTCCAGGTAATTAAAGACACTGGTGAAAAGGAAACCCAAACAAATCAAACGCTGTAGCAGACCATCCAGATAAAGCCTTTACAAATGGGCACTTCAGTGGGCTAAAAGCAGTACTCATTTCTGTGGGCAACAGTTGAAAGTCACCATTATTCCCAGGGAATATAAACGTGGTGAGATCATTCCGTTCTGTTGTCGATACACATTAAAAACAAAAAATAAAATAACAGCAGAGAGCCTAGCAGGGGCGTGCTGGCTGGAGAGAGACCAAGGAAGGAACAGACTGCAACTAGCTGAACGACGCTGTTTGAGATACAGAGATGTATCCAGAGCACTTGCCCACAATATTCTGGGCTTATGCCAGTGCAGTTAGTTCCTTCCCACACAATGGTTTTGTGGGTTTTCAGGCTTTTTTTTTGTTGTTGTTTCCAAGAGAAGAAAATTCAAATGAACTCTAAGGGGATTCCAGATAGTGAAGGGAATGTCTAAAGGGAATCAATTATGTTAGAAAACATGAGTGAATTAGGAAGCCTCCATCATCTGGACTTGCAAATGCCCAAGCACTCCCAGAAGCAGGTCAGCCGTTCATTTCCTGCTTGCTGACCTCCCCATGGCCCTCCCGTGGCTCTTCTCCCCACTTGGAGCCCCACAGAAGTAGAGATCAGGTATCAGCAGTGGCATCCATGTGCATGGAGGCCAGTGGAGCACAGGGCCCCAAGTCTAATGACCATCGCCAACCGCAAGCCAAGTGTGAGTCAAGACCCTCAAGGAATGGAAATCTTTCTGGAAATTCAGCCTTGTCAGCCACTTCCAAAGGAAACAAGGGGTTAAAGCAGTGACTGAAAGGGCAGTGGTATTGACATTAGAAAGACCAGGAGCACAAGCCCAGCCTGTATCAATATTAGCAATGACTAATTCAATCTGTCAATGGGAAGAAATACAGGAGCTCTGGAACATGGAGGAGCTGCTGCAAAGCCTTCATTTCACAGACAGTCAATACTGAAAAGAAAAATAAACCACAAAAGCAACAAAAATCCCAAAATACAGCTACCAGGGATGAGCACCCCCAGCACTGTGCTCATCCCAAGACTCCTAAATTCCTCCACTGCTTCAGAAGAAACTCAATGAACCCCACAAACACACTGCTCAAGGCA